AATCTGCTCTAATATACAAGTCAAATTTTTAGGCAGCCCCTCCAGTAGTAAAGATGACTATTTGGAGCACTCTTTTTCTTGATTTAATTTCAATTGGATTTCTCAGTTGAGGAGGCCATTGCCTCTTGGAGGGTTGCCAGTCATCAAGCCCAACCAATATATTTTGATTGAGAAATCCAATTTCAGTTGGATTTCTCAGTTGAGGAAGCCATTGCCTCTTGGAGGGTTGCGGTCATCAAGCCCAACCAATACCTTTTGATTGAGAAATCCAATTTCAATTGGATTTCTCAGTTGAGGAGGACATTGCTTCTTGGAGGGTTGCCTGTCATCAAGCCCAAACCAATACCTTTTGATTGAGAAATCCAATTTCATTTGGATTTTTCAGTTGAGGAGGCCATTGCTTCTTGGAGGGTTGCCTGTCATCAAGCCAAACCAATACCTTTTGATTGAGAAATCCAATTATAATTTGGATTTTTCTCAATTGAAGAGGCCATTGCTTCTTGGAGGGTTGTCGGTCATCAAGTCCAACCAATACCTTTTGATTGAGAAAATCCAATTTCAATTGGATTTCTCAATTGAAGAGGCCATTGCCTCTTGGAGGGTTGCCTGTAATCAAGCCCAACCAATACCTTTTGATTGACGAAATTAAAGTTTAAAGTCCAGCACCTCACATCTACTTTTTCACATCTACTGTGCCTATCAGTCGAGTTGGGTTGTCGAACCCTTGCAGAAATGCATTCTTGCAACGGACTGGAGATTTTTGTGCTTCCGGTTCTATCGGGAGGAATGGGGACATCACCTCTGCCTCTCTGAAGCGGTAGAAGCCAGTGCCGATGTAAGTATTTTTTTGGGGAGGCAAACTCTTTGTTTACAAAGCCACTTGCCTTGGGTGGACAGGGGACTGGCAAAGAAGCAGACCTTCCATGTGACAAGGAAGGTCCACTTTAGGCAATGTTGGGATTCTGGTGCAATGCATAAATTTAAGGATGAAAGGGCTACCATTTTTAACCTACAAGACTGAAACAGTTTAGTTGTCATTTTTTGTTGACCAGCTGGGGAGCGTGTTAAGGAATTTTTGTATTAGATTATATACGGTGACATCAGTCAGTGTGACAGTCTGTGGGAAATGTTGTATAGTGATATAAGTCACTGTGACAGCTGGTGACAGATAAGTGATAGTCGGCGTAGGATTGTATACAGTGACCTTACTCAATGTCATCATTTGCGATGGATTTTATACTGTGACAGCTTGTGGGAATTTCTTCTACACAGCAACATCAGTCGCTGTGACAGTTGGTGACAGATTCTATACAGTAACATTAGCTAGCCTGATAGCCGGTGACAGATTATATACAGTGGTATTAGTTGGTATGATGGTGAATGGAAGAATCCACACATTGCCATTGTAAGACCCATGTTACACTAGAAAATATAGGTGCAGCGCTATAAATAGTATGAACATATAATACCATATATAGAACATTAATCAACATGCAATAGCGTAGTGATTATATTAATAATTCAAAGCAAGTGATATAACGTCCACATGAGAAGATGTGTGATATGGAGATCTTGTAGAGTCCCTGTTTAACCACTTCCAGTCCGGACACTTTCACCCCCTTCTGACCAGGGCAATTTTCAGCTTTCAGCGCTATCACACTTTGAATGACAATTGCGCGGTCATGCAACACTGTACCCAAATGAATTTTTTACCATTTTTTTGAGACAGATAAAGCTTTATTTTGGTGGTATTTATTCTCCGCTGGGATTTTTATTTTTTTTTGCTATGTAAATGAAAAAGTCCAAAAAATTTTTTTAAAAAGTGTTTTTTTTTATAAAATTTTGCAAATAAATAATATTTCATCATAAATCTTTGCCAAAATTTATTCCGTTATCTTTTTAGTAAAAAAAAGAAAATCCAAATTAGTTTATAACCAAACATTATGATTTTTAAACATTTTTTTTATATTTTTATTTAATTTTTTTTATAATATTATAATATTTTTTTTTTTTTTTACATACTGTCACCCTAGCAGTACAGTGTCACCATAGTGACACTGTACTACTTGTGGGGGGTGATGAAGATTTTTTTTTTTTTTTTTTACACTGATTGCTTTTACACCCATATAGGATGTAATAGCAATCATTTCTCTTTCTCTCTGTGTGCATTCTTCTACTCATTGAGAAGTACTGAGTGAGCTGTGATTGGTCACAGCTTGTCACATGGTACAAGGCTGTTGTGAATGACCCTGTACCATGTGACCTCTGTGATCATTCACAGATTTCACACGTAGTAAGCAATGATGGCACAAGTGACATCTTGCTTACTACTTTGCATGTGATCACTGATTGGCCAATTAGTGATCACATGATCGGGACCTCGTACAGAGGTCCCGTCCGACGATCGATGTTTCACTGTGTCCGGAGGACACAGCGGGCACCGGATCGCGGTGCTGCGCGCTCCGAGGGAGCGCGCACAAAGCAGGGTGCGGGGAGGCCGTTTATAAACGGCCACCTGACCCTGCACTGCCACCGTCCAGCCGTTTATATGCAACGGCCGGTCGGGAAGTGGTTAAGGTGGGAATATGTGATCCAGAGGTGGTAGATAATGAATAGAATGCGCACTCACCAGAAGTGCGTATTAAATACGCATTTGGAAAATCTCCTGTCTCATCAAGCACGTGAAGGCTCTTCTGTATTTTGATTTTATACATCAATTAACGTTCATCAAACAATATCACACTATGTGATGTCCCTTATTGGGCTCTCTCTGTGAGCGCCATCCTCTGCAGTGCCTGCCCCTAAAGGTGACTCCGTGATGCTGTGAATGAATAACGAAAGATGAACCCCAGGATCCTGTTTTTTTCGGTGACCAGATGTTGATAGTGAATGCAGCCTGTTCTGAATACAAAAGAGCCTTCACGTGCTTGATGAGACAGGAGATTTTCCTAATGCGTATTCAATACGCACTTCTGGTGAGTGCGCATTCTATTCATTATCTACCACCTCTGGATCACATATTCCCACCTTAAACAGGGACTCTACAAGATCTCCATATCACACGTCTTCCCATTTGGACATTATATCACTTGCTTTGAAGTATTAATATAATCACTACGCTATTGCATGTTGATTAATGTTCTATATATGGTATTATTTGTTCATACTATTTACAGCGCTGCACCTATATTTTCTACATATTTTCCTGGAAGGTGTATTGGTTACCTTTTTTTGGTGTTCTAGCTGCTCTCTTGATATATTATTAATTTAAATATATTTTTTTCTAGGTAGCGCTCGCTAGATAACCTATTACTCATGTTACACTAGCAGCCCTACTAGGTTTGGAAAAACTGCATACAAAATGCTCACCTACTTGTGTTGGTTCCCCGCTGGCCAGATGGGCGAGGCATCAATCCCTCATTGTCAGGGTGTCACTAGTAGGGGAGCGCGAGATCTTACTCATCCAGCTGGCGAAGGAAGGAGTGACATGTGAAAGTAGGTGAATATGCTTCTTACCTGTCCTACCTTACATAGTGGTCCTGCATGAGTTCTCACCTGGGAAATTCTGGCATTACAGTCTGATAGGACTGTGCACATGCTGTGCCCAAAAATGCTCTGCTTCGTGCCCACAGCATTTTTAACTCGGGTTGCAAAGTTTGACAGGCAACAACACCTGTCAAACTCACCCATTGGGATCAATGCAAATTGGCTCACAGTTGGGATACAATCCCACAAAGTAAAATTGTCTTTCGGCAATTGGAAAAAAAGTAAAAAAAAAATTCAGGCAGGTTTTGGGCTTGTGTACACATGAGTTGGTTACGTGAGTTGGTCATTTGGCTTTGAAAAACCCACCTCAAAAGGCAGGTTGTCAGATCCCCATTTGCCTCAATGGTACAGGGTTGATGCCATTTCTGAGGCTGCGTTTGACCTGATTTGTGTTGTGATTCCCTGAGCACAGTTTGTCCAATGGTGTTGTGCTTGTTATTGGAGGCAAAACAGGTAAAACTCTTGCTTTCAACCCCAAGTGTTTGAGCTTACTACTCTGCGCTCAAATCTCAAAGTCATCATTGGACCACAATGCAAGCCCTTATCCACCCTTCTGTATATCTGAATTCCAGGTATGGGCACATTTACATACAGTAGTTGCATTAGACCAACTTGAACCAATGTAAGTATGTATGTATGTATGTATGTGCCCACTACAGTGATTTCCAGCTACCAAAGAGGGGCTCTCCAAACCTACTACACAAAGGGCCAGTTAACTGTCCTTAAAGCTTTAGGGGAGTCAGACTGTGGCCAGTGGGATTTGAAAACACCCTGGCATCAGTGGGAGTAAAATATACCTCCTCATTGTCCTTAATGGGAGGAATAGTCCCCATTGATGTGTCAATTGGAGGAATGGTGCTCCATTGTTGGTATTTTGGGGACAAATAGTGCGCTATCATTAGTGTCTGTGGGAGAAATAGCACCCCATCATTGGTGTCAATGGATGGAATGGTGCCTCAAGGGCCAGATAAAGGCAAGAAAAGGATCACAGCCAGCCCCTGGGCTGCACTTTGGAGACAGCTGTTCCAAATGGTTCCCACAGGTTTGAGACATACATATACCTACAAGCTGGATTATTGTAACTATGTACACATTGCCATACCTAAACTTCAGCTTTGCATCTTTACAACTGAACTCAAGGCCAGCCTTTCTCAACCTTTTTATGGCAAATAACCCCTTGGAGTAATTTTTAGGTCTCAGGGAACACTTTTTCGAATCAGTTCATCGTTGATCAGTTGTAAGTTTGTCCTTTATATTGTGGTCAGTGGGGAGAATGTGCCTTACATTGTTGTTAGCAAGAAGAATGCTCCTTATATTGGTGTGCAGAGAGAAGAATGCCCCTTACATTGATGGTTTCTGGGGAGATTGCTATATTGGTGGTCAGAGGGAATCATGTTTTTCACTTTGTAAGTCAGTGGGAAGAATGCTCCTTACATTGGAGGTCAATGAGAAGAATACCTCTTACATTGGTGATCAGTGGGAAGAATGTCCCTTACATTGGTGATCAGTGGGAAGAATGTCCCTTACATTGCTGATTAGGGGGAAAGAATGCTCCTTACATTGGTGATCAGTGGGAAGAATGCCCTTACATTGCTGATCAGGGGGAAGAATGCTCCTTACATTGGTGATCAGTGGGAAGAATGCTCCTTACATTGGAGGTCAATGAGAAGAATACCTCTTACATTGGTGATCAGTGTGAAGAATGTCCCTTACATTGGTGATCAGTGGGAAGAATGCCCCTTACATTGGTGGTCAGTGGGAAGAATGCCCCTTACATTGGTGGTCAATGAGAAGAATGGTCCCTTACATTGGTGATCAGTGGGAAGAATTGTCCTTACATTGGTGGTCAGTGGGAAGAATGCTCCTTCCATGGGGGGTCAGTGGGAAGAATGCTCCTTACATTGGTGATCAGTGGGAAGAATGCCCCTTACATTGGTGGTCAGTGGGAAGAATGCCCCTTACATTGGTGGTCAATGAGAAGAATGTCCCTTACATTGGTGATCAGTGGGAAGAATTTTTCCTTACATTGGTGGTCAGTGGGAAGAATGTCCCTTACATTGGTGGTCAATGAGAAGAATGTCCCTTACATTGGTGATCAGTGGGAAGAATTGTCCTTACATTGGTGGTCAGTGGGAAGAATGCTCCTTCCATGGGGGGTGGTCAGTGGGAAGAATGCTCCTTACATTGGTGATCAGTGGGAAGAGAATGCCCCTTACATTGGTGGTCAGTGGGAAGAATGTCCCTTACATTGGTGATCAGTGGGAAGAATGCCCCCCCTTACATTGGTGGTCAGTGGGAAGAATGCCCCTTACATTGGTGATCAGTGGGAAGAATGCCCCTTACATTGGTGATCAGGGGGAAGAATGTCCCTTACATTAGTGATCAGTGGGAAGAATGCTCCTTACATTGGTGATCAGTGGGAAGAATGTTCCTTACATTGGTGATCAGTGGGAAGAATGTCCCTTACATTGGAGGTCAGTGGGAAGAATGTCCCTTACATTGGTGATCAGTGGGAAGAATGTCCCTTACATTGGTATCAGTGGGAAGAATGTCCCTTACATTGGTGATCAGTGGGGAAGAATGTCCCTTACATTGGTGATCAGTGGGAAAAGAATGTCCCTTACATTGGAGGTCAGTGGGAAGAATGTTCCTTACATTGGTGGTCAGTGGGAAGAATGTCCCTTACATTGGTGATCAGTGGGAAGAATGCTCCTTCCATGGGGGGTCAGTGGGAAGAATCCTCCTCACATTGGTGGTCTGTGAGAAAGTAGCTCCCCCTTACAGTGATGGTCATGCTGCCACCCTTACAGAAAGCTAAAAAGGCAGCACATTGGCTAAATGGATAGTAATTCTGCCTGCCAGTACTATGGTCATTGGTTTGAATCCCAACCATGGCATCACCTGTCTGGAGTTTGCATGTTCTCCCTGTGCTTGCAAGGGTTTCCTCCCACATTCCAAAGATATGCTGGTAGGTTAATTGGATCCTGTCTAAATTGTCCCTAGTATGTGTATGTATGAATGTGAGTTAGGGACCTTAGATTATATGCTCCTTGAGGGTCAGGGACTGATGTGAATGTACAATATAAATATACATGTACAGCGCTGCATACATTGACAGCGCTATATAAGTAACTGTGATAAATAAATAAAAACACCATTGGTATAATACTATGATATCCAGTTGTTGTTGCACTGTTGATAAAAAATATACTAATAGTGAGTCACTTATAATTTAAATGTGCTCCTACCAATTATATTATTAAGTCAAAATACATGAATCACCAAACAATGAAAAGGTCTTTTGATGACAAAATTCCGATTATGATAAACAACCATGTCGACAATAATCCTCCACGTGTGTAGTAAAATAGAGACTCCTGTACCCACTACCACAAAAAGCACACAACTTCTTACAATAGTTAGACCCCAGATTATAGGTGGTCTAATAGAGCATGATGTGGAACATACACTATATTGGCAAAAGTATTGGTCGGCCTGCCTTTCCACGCACATGAACTTTAATGGCCTCCCAGTCTTAGTCCGTAGGGTTCAATATTGCGTTGGCCCCGCCCTTTGCAGCTATAACAGCTTCAACTCTTCTGGGAAGGCCGTCCACAAGGTTTAGGAGGGTGTCTATGGGAAGGTTGGACCATTCTTCCAGAAGCACATTTGTCAGGTCAGGCACTGATGTCGGGGGAGGAGGTCTGGCTCACAGTCTCCGCTCTAATTCATCCCAAAGGTGTTCTATGGGGTTAAGGTCAGGACTCTGTGCAGACCAGTCAAGGTCCTCCACCCCAAACTCGCTCATCCATGTCTTTATGGACCTTTTTTTATGCAATGGTACGCAGTCATGCTGGAACAGGAAGGGGCCATCCTCAAACTCTTCCCACAAAGTTGGGAGCATGAAATTGTCCAAAATGTCTTGGTATGCTGACACCTTAAGAGTTCCCTTCACTGGAACAAGGGGGCCAAGTCCAACCCCTGAAAAACAACTCCACACCATAATCCCCCCTCCACCAAGATTTACACTTGGCACAATGCAGTCAGGCAAGTACCGTTCTCTTGGCAACCGCCAAACCAAGACATGTCCATCAGATCTAATTCTGATGAAGAAGAGACCACCTTCGAAATGCGTCAGCCTCACTTTGAGAGTCTACCCTTGTGATGTGACTCGCACTGGTTCTACTCTCCTAAGTTCTGTTGAGGACTTTAAACGCATGTTATACTTGCTTCTTTGTGAGTATTACTCTTTATTCAATAAAATCACAGTTTACTGAGGTAATGCGCAAGGTTGGTGCGCTTTCTTTTTGTTTCACTTTACGTCCATCAGCTTGCCAGACAGAGAAGCATGATTCGTCCCTCCAGAGAACATGTCTCAACTGCTCTGAGTCCAGTGGCGGCGTGCTTTACACCACGGCATCCGACGCTTTGCATTGCACTTGGTGATGTAAGGCTTGGATGCAGCTGCTCGGCCATGGAAACCCATTCCATGAGGCTCTCTATGCACTGTTGTTGTGCTAGTCTGAAGGCCACATGAAGTTTGGAGGTCTTTAGCTATTCACTCTGCAGACAGTTGCTGAAGCGCACAGTGCGCAGAAATCACCATGTGCTGACCCCGCTCTGTCATGTGACGTGGCCTACCACTTGGTGGCTGAGTTGCTGTTGTTCCCAGTTGCTTCCACTTTGTTATAATCCCACTAACAGTTGACCGTGGAATATTTAGTAGCCAGGAAATGTCACGGATGGACTTATTGCACAGGTGACCACCTATCACGGGACCACGCTTGGAGTCACTGAGCTCCTGAGAGCGACCCATTCTTTCACAAATGTTTGTAGAAGCAGTCTGCATGCCTAGGGGCTTGATTGTATACACCTGCGGCCATGGAGGGGATTGGAACACCTGAATCACATGATTTGAAGGGGGGGCAATACTTTTGGCAATACAGTGTATCTTGCTTGTAACACACCCTAGATGGAAAAGAGGTGACACAGACTTTGGTATCTCTCCTTCTCTCTTCCTCCCTTATTGTGATCCGCTGTGTGCTGGATCAGGGGCGGACTGACAACTCATGGGGCCCCTGGGCAATAGGGGATCATGGGGCCCCTGTGTTCTTGCCCAAACTCAAAAAAGCCTATGAAAAAGGTACCAGGGGCATCTCATGGGGCCCCCTACTGACCCCGGTCCCTCGGGCAGTGCCCGAGTTTCCAAATGGTCAGTCCGCCCCTGTACTGGATAATACTCCAGATAGTGTGATAACATACAAATGATTTATTACAATAAATAAAAAAAAAACCACTTACAAACTTCAAAGACAAATGAGAATGGAAGTCATAAACGCTGCTGGTGCCGGCTCCAGAGAGGTGTGGGTGACGTCAGCACAATGTCCGCCCAGCCCCGAGGTACGTTTCATCTCAATAGACATTGTCAAGGGGATCAGGTTATCACATTATTGGTATCATACTGCTGGCTGTGCCAAGTGGCTGTGGACTTGGAACTATGCGGGCGCCATCAGATAAGAGTTCAATCCGCTACAATTCAAGGAACCTCTGGAGGTAATTCCAGGTTCCATGAAACCTGGTTGAGAATGGCTGCACTAGGAGCAGGGGCGGACTGACCATTTGGAAACTCGGGCACTGCCCGAGGGCCCGGGTCAGTAGGGGCCCCATGAGATGCCCCTGGTACCTTTTTTTTCATAGGCTTTTTTGAGTATGGGCAAGGACACAGGGGCCCCATGATCCCCTATTGGCCGGGGGCCCCATGAGTTGTCAGTCCGCCCCTGACTAGGAGGGTATAAAAGATATAAAAGATGAAAATGAAGACAGCTCTGTGTTTATTAATACATCATAAAATTTCCATATATTTACACTTTTGAAGTCAAACTTTAGAAAACTTCACTATATGTTTGTTCCAGTGTTCTGTTCCCATCCACACAGTAGTTATCTCTTACCTTTTGGATGTTTCTTAGGAGAAGGTGTCATGGCTGACAAGTTCAGAATACGTTCTAATAGAAAGCCTCAGGACAGGCTAAGTTTACTTTCGTTAACCGTGAAGCCCAGCTTCTAATCCTGTAACCCTGATAGGACAGACGGGGTTTATTTACTAAAGCTGGAGAGTGCAAAATCAGGCTCACCTCTGCATAGAAACCAATCAGCTTCCAGGTTACATTGCCGAAATGAAATGAACAAGCTGAGGTTGGAAGCTGATGGGTTTCTATGCAGAAGTGAGCCTGATTTTGCACTCTCCAGCTTTAGTAGATAAACCCCTGTCAGGTTCTGAATCTAGTTTACAACTGATAATGGAATCAGCCAGCACAGTGTAGGCAGGGCTAATTATGGCAAACACAGCTCCCCAGCCCCCTTTTACCCCTGTAAACACAGAGAACTAAGTAGGAGATTTATAGGTGTTATCAGAAAAGAGCATCTAAAAAAAAAGGTAAGCAAGTGACTTTAAACATATACTGTATATTTAGATTATACTGTGTGAATGGGGACATGTAACAACTACCGTATTTCTTGCTCCATAAGACGCACTTTTTTCCCTCCCAAAAATGGGGGAAAATGTTTGTACATCTTATGGAGCAAATATAGAGTGGCCGGACCTGGTCATCTCCTGTACTGTGTCCGCAGTCTCTGGTCATCTCCTGTACTATGTCCGCAGTCTACTGGTCATCTCCTGTACTGTGTCCGCAGTCTCTCTGGTCATCTCCTGTACTATGTCCGCAGTCTCTGACCATCTCCTGTACTGTGTCCGCAGTCTCTGGTCATCTCCTGTACTATGTCCGCAGTCTCTGGCCATCCCCTGTACTATGTCCGCAGTCTCTGGTCATCTCCTGTACTATGTCCGCAGTCTCTGGTCATCTCCTGTACTATGTCCGCAGTCTCTGGTCATCTCCTGTACTATGTCCGCAGTCTCTGGTCATCTCCTGTACTATGTCCGCAGTCTCTGGCCATCCCCTGTACTGTGTCCGCAGTCTCTGGCCATCTCCTGTACTATGTCCGCAGTCTCTGGTCATCTCCTGTACTATGTCCGCAGTCTCTGGTCATCTCCTGTACTGTGTCCGCAGTCTCTGGTCATCTCCTGTACTGTGTCCTCAGTCTCTGGTCATCTCTCTGTACTGTGTCCGCAGTCTCTGGTCATCCCCCTGTACTATGTCCGCAGTCTCTGGTCATCTCCTGTACTGTATCCGCAGTCTCTGGTCATCTCCTGTACTATATCCGCAGTCTCTGGTCATCTCCTGTACTGTGTCCGCAGTCTCTGGTCTCTCTCCTGTACTGTGTCCGCAGTCTCTGGTCATCTCCTGTACTGTGTCCGCAGTCTCTGGTCATCTCCTGTACTGTGTCCGCAGTCTCTGGTCATCTCCTGTACTATGTCCGCATCCGCAGTCTCCCCTGTATAGTGTCCCAGGTCATCTCCTGTACTACGTCCGCAGTCTCTGGTCATTTCCTTTACTGTGTCTGCAGTCTCTGGTCATCTCCTGTACTACGTCTGCAGTCTCTGGTCATCTCCTGTACTATGTCCGCAGTCTCCAGTCATCTCCTGTACTGTGTCCGCAGTCTCTGGTCATCTCCTGTACTATGTCCTCAGTCTCTGGTCATCTCCTGTACTATGTCCGCGCAGTCTCTGGTCATCTCCTGTACTGTGTCTGCAGTCCTCTCTGGTCATCTCCTGTACTATGTCTGCAGTCATCTCTGGTCATCTCCTGTACTATGTCCGCAGTCTCTGGTCATCCCCTGTACTATGTCTGCAGTCTCTGGTCATCTCCTGTACTATGTCCGCAGTCTCTGGTCATCTCCTGCACTGTGTCCTGCAGTCTCTGGTCATCTCCTGTACTGTGTCCGCAGTCTCTGGTCATCTCCTGTACTGTGTCTGCAGTCTCTGGTCATCTCCTGTACTATGTCCGCAGTCTCTGGTCATCTCCTGTACTATATCTGCAGTCCATTGGTTCAGAGTATTTTTTTTCTTGTTTTCCTCCTCTAAAATCTAGGTGCGTCTTATGGAGCGAAGAATACGGTATAATATAGCTGTTTTCCCAGTTTGGCTGCAAAATTGGAAATATACTTTGTAAAATGATTTTGTTTCACATGCAAGCAGTGTAAGTACCTGAATGTGGCCTGATATCAGCTTTGTGCAGTCCCTGTACAGCATAACTGGAATGTGAGAGAAAAAAGCCACACAAGGAGCAAATCAGATCATGTGCTGACAAGAAGTATACTGATAGGAGGAGAGAGCAGAGTGACAAAGAGATGAGCTCATCACTGTTCTACTTCTCTTTTCATTGTCCAGTCACAAGGTGGGGGCTAGTTTTAGATGGCCTGGGCTCAGAGGAAGTGGGTTGAATGATGGTGGCCATTAGACTAAGGGCATCTTGTGGCAGAAAAGAACTACTGCGGGGCAGAGCTTTGAATTAAAAGTGAATATTGCAACAAAAGTTGGGCTTTTCATTCTTATCTTGTGATTTTTGGCTGGAGTAGGTGCGAATTTGATTTCATACGTCAAGAATACGAATTCCATAGACAACAATATGAAATGTATCTGGACAATCGTTTCTGATCAGATGCGATCTTCTAAAGCCCAAGATTGACCTGCCCAGTGACTGCGATGAGCGGTTGTGCGGCGTGCCCTTCTGTGCGTTCCCGCAGACCTAATTACACCGCAGCTCATTATCCTCAGCGATAAATGTCCGTGAATCTGCGGGGGGGACTATTAGCTGAGAAATACATCAGTACAATACGATTAGCCGTCCTCCGCCTCGACGCAACGGTTTCAAATTTCACTGAAGCATTTTCATTTCTCATTAAACATTAGCATCGGAAAAGGGCTAAAGTGCGCTGATTCTCCTCCGCTGTAATGGAAGGAAGGATTTATTATTATAACAGAGACGGGTATAAATATAACGGCGTAACGCGGGGCCCCGCTGCGCACCATACACCTGGGAAATAATACTTTGTAAATACAATTAACAGCAGTGGGTACATTAAAACCATTGGATACAGTGTGATTGTCTGACGGATTCATTAGGGGAAGTGATGGATTAAGATGAACAAGACAAGCCAGAAACGCGCCATGGATTTTGCTTTGTTAGGAATTCGTTTACACATATGGTAAATATAGGTGGTCGAGCCGCAATTTTGATGCCACCCTCCACAACTTCCCCTTCTCAGAACACCAACTTTAAGGCTGCATTCTCATGTACGTGTGGCTTGAATGCATGTGGTTCCATCCTTCCCTCGTGGAAGAAAAATATATCTTAAAAATATTCCGCCCAAATATATTGACATATATTATAATACTACAATTATGGCCATATTAAATATATTTCAAAATATAGTTCAATAAATAAAATATATATATATATGTATGTATGTATATTATTATTATTATTATACAGTATTTATATAGCGCCAAAAGGTTTGCTCAGCGCTGTACATTATAGTGGGGGACAGAACATGAGACAAGACAGTAACAATACAATACACGAGGGGTTCAAGGGCCCTGCTCCTTGGAGCTTACAATCTAGGATATATATATATGTGTATGTGTGTGTATGTATGTATGTATGTATATATATATATTATATATATGTGTGTATGTATATATATATGTATGTATATATATATATATATGTGTGGTGTGTATGTATGTATGTATGTGTGTGTGTATATATATATATATATATATATATATATATGTATATATATATATATATATTGAATGCATGTAGTTCCATCCTTCCCTCATGGAAGAAAAATATATTTTAAATATATTTTAAAAATATTCCACCCACATATATTGACATATATTATAATACTACAATATATTTCAAAATATAGTTCAATAAATATATATAT